TCCTCCTTTGGGTGTGATTGCAGCCAGCCTGTGTATGGTGGGAAAGGTCCTGGGCCCACTAGGCCGCACTAATCCTCGCCACCCCTGTATCCCATATGGGGGGGAGGGAAGGTGATCAGGATGCTCCTCCAGGACGTCCTGACAGGCACGGAGGGATGACAGGCAGCAGACCACAGAACGAGCGGGAGGGGGGGTTATCAGTCCTCCCCCTTCCTGATCCTGCACCCACCGTCACACCACCGCTGACCGGCCCGTCGCGCGCCAGAGGGCTCTGCGGCTCCACTCGGCCGCAACAGGCCGCACCAGATCGCCACCCCAGAACGGCTCGGAGGGATGACAGGCAGCAGACCACAGACCATAGAACGAGCGGGAAGAGGGGTTATCAGTCCTCCCCCTTCCAGATCCTGCACCCACCGTCACACCACCGCTGACCGGCCCGTCATGCGCCAGAGGGCTCCGCGGCTCCACTCGGCCGCAACAGGCCGCACCAAATCGCCACCCCAGGACGGCTCCAAAAGTGCCTCCGGCTGCCCGGCCGCAATGTAGCAGGGACGGGTGAGTAACCCGCCCGACCCTACCCTCTTATACGACCTGGATGCCAGTGGATTACAGAGCGAGCCGCCGGAGCTCCAGGTCATGCGACTTGTCCGGTCGCCATCTTGGACACGCCCCCCAGAGGTGCATAATTCGGTTGCTGTACCATTTACTATGCTACCCCTGTGTGGATGGACAGTATGTGCAAGCAGATATACTGACAGGTCAGGCGGAGAAAAGCATGGCACCAGCAGTTTGCTGATCACTAGTGCAATGCTTTAGAGGCTCCACAAACAAAAATAATAAATGCACATTGTTTTACCTGCAAAACAATTTGCATTTATTATTTTTTCTTAAAAGGTGAACTTATCCTTTAACATTAGTCAAGGAACTAGGGAGTTCCTTGAACCTAACGATAGCTATAGGTGCCTGGTGTACCCTGGGCAATGTCTCTGAAATTCAGGCACAGGGCTGGAATTATGTTGTACCATACGTCACCAATCTATTTCAAATATCAACTATAACCTTTTGCAGCAATGGCAGCACCCTTAACTGACCTTACCAAGGGCAAAAGCTCCTCTGTAATGATTAAATGAAATCCTGAGGCTGAAGAAGCTTTCCAAAGTCTGAAGGAAGCCATGTGTAAACAGCCTGTGCTGGTAGCCCTAAAAAATTTGTGGTCCAGACTCAAGTATAGGTTTGGGGACTGTCTTGTCCCAAGTGGTAGGCGAAGAACACCCAGTGGTTTGTTTGAGTCTAAAACTAATCCCGAAATAAATTATAGTCTTGTGGAGAGAGAGTATTTGTCCATCAAGTGGGCCCTAGAGGCTCTATGGTACTACTTGCTGGGGTGCCACTTCTGACTCATAACAGATCAAGCTGGGGGGGGGGGGGTGAGGCCTGACTTTGATGGAGTGAGCTGCTTCTCTCAGGAGCTCCTGCTGTCCTCAGGCCTACATTTTCTTTTACAGTAGTGATAGCACTCTGTCCAGTCCCCAGTGATGTTGCACCAACTTCGGACAGTGTCACCGCTTCCCAGATTTCTCTCCCCAGAGCTCAAACCAGCCTGCACTTGCAGCCAAGATGGTACCCAGCTCCCAGCACTCACAGTGTCAGGGCTCCTGGGTGTGACCAGAGGTGTGTGACTGACGCAGGGAAACGCAGGCTTCAGATATGTTATAAACAATGTAATTTATTAACACTAACAATACAAACATAAACGCAGTGCAATACTAAAACATAACACAGTGCAAACAAACCAACCAACCACCCACAGATAACAGTACATACAATGCAAGCGTCGTAAGGCAGGCCGGGTCAATATCAATCGGGCAGGTAGGTACAGGGGGAGCAAGGGGAGAGAATGGTCGGAGTCACAAGCCAGGTTCAGCAGGTAGCAGGCAGCGTGGTACAGAGGGTCAGGCAGAGGAGAATGGTCAGACAAGGCAGGGATCAGAGCAGGGTCAGCAGAGAATCAGACAGGAACAGGGAACAGGGAGCAGGAACAGGATACAGGGCCCAGGAGAAACACAACACAACACCAAGGCAGAGTCTGCAGGTCTGAATGTCCCTTAAATACACCAGTATTATTTAGTTCCAGGTGTTTGACTGGCTGCAAGGTTGAGTCTCTGATTGCTGGGAGCACCCGCTGGCCAGCCCTGGTACTGCAGCTCATAAGGCAGCTGAGTCCCACTATTGCTGGCCAGTCCATTCCTGACAGTACCCCCCCCCCTCAAGGAGCGGCCTCAGGACGCTCCAAACAGTCCTAGCTGGGCAAAATGTTCCACCGCCCGGGTCTGGTAACTGGCGGGATATCAAAGACTAGCACACCGGGCAGGACTCCGGGCAGCGGCACACCGGGCAGAGGCACACCGGGCTGGACTCCGGGCAGAGGCACACCGGGCAGGACTCCGGGCAGAGGCACATCGGGCAGGACTCCGGGCAGAGGCACATCGCGCTGGAATCCGGGCAGAGGCACATCGGGCAGGACTCCGGGCAGAGGCACATCGGGCTGGACTCCGGGCAGAGGCACATCGGGCTGGACTCCGGGCAGAGGCACATCGGGCAGGACTCCGGGCAGAGGCACATCGGGCAGGACTCCGGGCAGAGGCACATCGGGCAGGACTCCGGGCAGAGGCACATCGGGCAGGACTCTGGGCAGAGGCACATCGGATTACCAGGCGAAGCAGCAGGCAGCGGGCCACCAGGCAGAGCAGCAGGCAGCGGGCCCCCAGCGCGGGGCAGCAGGCACCGGGCCCCCAGGCGGAGCAGCAGGCACCGGGCCCCCGGGCGGAGCAGCAGCGGCAGCGGGCCACCGGGCGGAGCGGCAGGCAGCGGGCCCCCGGGCGGAGCGGCAGGCAGCGGGCCCCCGGGCGGAGCGGCAGGCACCGGGCCCCCGGGCGGAGCGGCAGGCACCGGGCCCCCGGGCGGGGCGGCAGGCACCGGGCCCCCGGGCGGAGCGGCGGGCACCGGGCCCCCGGGCGGGGCGACGGGCACCGGGCCCCCGGGCGGGGCGACGGGCACCGGGCCCCCGGGCGGGGCGACGGGCACCGGGCCCCCGGGCGGGGGCGACGGGCACCGGGCCCCCGGGCGGGGCGACGGGCATCGGGCCCCCAGGCGGGGCGACGGGCATCGGGCCCCCAGGCGGGGCGACAGGCATCGGACCCCCAGGCGGAGCGGCGGGCACCGGACCCCCAGGCGGAGCGCGACAGGTCTCGGGCCCTCAGGCGGAGCGGCGGGCGCCGGACCCCCAGATGGAGCGACAGGTCTCGGGCCCCTCAGGCGGAACGGCGGGCGCCGGACCCCCAGGTGGAGCGACAGGTCTCGGGCCCTCAGGCGGAGCGGCGGGCGCCGGGCCCCAGGGCGGAGCGACAGGTCTCGGGCCCCCAGGTGGAGCGACAGGTCTCGGGCCCTCAGGCGGAGCAACAGGTCTCGGGCCCTCAGGCGGAGCGGCGGGCGCCGGACCCCCAGGCGGAGCGACAGGTCTCGGGCCCTCAGGCGGAGCAACAGGTCTCGGGCCCTCAGGCGGAGCGGCGGGGCGCCGGACCCCCAGGCGGAGCGACAGGTCTCGGGCCCTCAGGCGGAGCGGCGGGCGCCGGACCCCCAGGCGGAGCGACAGGTCTCGGGCCCTCAGGCAGAGCGGCGGGCGCCGGACCCCCAGGCGGAGCGACAGGACTCGGGCCCCCAGGCGAAGCGGCGGCGGGCACCAAGTCACCAGGCACGACAGTGGGCTCCGAGTCAACTGGCATGACCGCTGGCACTGGGTCAGACATTGGATCGTCTGGCTGGACAGCGGGCATCGGGTCACCAGGCATCAGGTCATTTGGCTCGACAGCGGGCACCGCGTCATCTGGCAAGGCAGTGGGCTCCGAGTCAACTGGTATGACCGCGGGCACTGGGTCAGACATTGGATCGTCTGACTGGACAGCGGGCATCGGGTCACCAGGCATCAAGTCATTTGGCTCGACAGCGAGCACCGCGTCATCTGGCAAGGCAGTGGGCTCCGAGTCAACTGGCATGACCGCGGGCACTGGGGCAGACATTGAATCGTCTGGCTGGACAGCGGGCATCGGGTCACCAGGCATCAGGTCATTTGGCTCGACAGCGGGCACCGCGTCATCTGGCAAGGCAGTGGGCTCCGAGTCAACAGGCACGACAGTGGGCTCTGAGTCAACTGGCACGACAGCGGGCACCGGGTCATCAGGTACCGGATTGTCTGGCTCGACAGCGGGCATCGGGTCACCAGGTATGACAGCGGGCACTGGGTCACCAGGCATCAGGTCATTTGCTTGCCAGCGGGCACCGCGTCATCTGGCAAGGCAGTGGGCACCGGGTCACCAGGCATTGGATCGCCTGGCTCGACAGCGGGGCATCGGGTCACCAGGTATGACAACGGGCACTGGGTCACCAGGCATCAGGTCATTTGGCTCGCCAGAGGGCACCGCGTCATCTGGCAAGGCAGTGGGGCACCGAGTCACCAGGTACGACAGCGGGCTCTGAGTCAATTGGCACGATAGCGGGCACCGGGTCATCAGGTACCGGATTGTCTGGCTCGACAGCGGGCATCGGGTCACCAGGTATGACAGCGGGCACTGGGTCACCAGGCATCAGGTCATTTGGCTTGCCAGCGGGCACCGCGTCATCTGGCAAGGCAGTGGGCACCGGGTCACCAGGCATTGGATCGCCTGGCTCGACAGCGGGCATCGGGTCACCAGGTATGACAGCGGGCACTGGGTCACCAGGCATCAGGTCATTTGGCTCGCCAGAGGGCACCGCGTCATCTGGCAAGGCAGTGGGCACCGGGTCACCAGGCATTGGATCGCCTGGCTCGACAGCGGGCATCGGGTCACCAGGTATGACAGCGGGCACTGGGTCACCAGGCATCAGGTCATTTGGCTCGCCAGAGGGCACCGCGTCATCTGGCAAGGCAATGGGCACCGAGTCACCAGGTACGACAGCGGGCTCTGAGTCAATTGGCACGACAGCGGGCACCGGGTCATCAGGTACCGGATTGTCTGGCTCGACCGCGGGTATCGGGTCACCAGGTATGACAGCGGGCACCGGGTCATCAGGTACCGGATTGTCTGGCTCGACAGCGGGCATCGGGTCACCAGGTATGACAGCGGGCACTGGGTCACCAGGCATCAGGTCATTTGGTTTGCCAGCGGGCACCGCGTCATCTGGCAAGGCAGTGGGCACCGGGTCACCAGGCATTGGATCGTCTGGCTCGACAGCGGGCATCGGGTCACCAGGTTGAACCACAGAAGGCAGGTTCTCAGATGGCAGGCTCACCGGTTTGGATACTGGCAGGATGGTATTGGTTGGAAAGAATTTTCGCTTTTTTCTGGTTTTAACTACTGGAGCACTGCAAGTAAACGCAGGTCTGCAAACGAATGGAGCAGCTGGAGACAGAGAAGAACTGGAGGATGGAAAAGGAGAGGGAGCAGTTGCTACAGAGGGCTTTTTTACAGGGTTAAAGGCAGGATAGGTGCAGCGAGTGGGAACAGGGTACTGACATGCGGTAGATAGCAGGGCAGGAGGAGCTGTTGGGAATGCAGGAATAGAGTTTTGAGGAAATAGATTAGAAGCAGGACTTGGTTTTTGTAAGCTGACTGAGGCTGGGTGCAACAAGTCTGTCCATGTCTGCAGTATGGGTTGAACAAAGCTGAGCTTACACAAAGCCTGTCTGGTCAATGACTGCACTGCGTTTATACAATCTCTTAGTACCTGTGGTGAACATGTGGAATAACGCTCCAGAAAGTAACCCACATCATCCTCTAATAACCATACCAGGGACTCTACCTGGTCTGCACTAAATGGTGGCAAAAATTCATCCCTGCATTCGGGGGTACCAGATGAAAAACCAACTCAGCACAAACCTCAATCAATGGCTGCACCTCAGAGAACTCTGTGCCCTGATCTACTAGAACATGAGCGAGCCGTATACATTCTAGCAGTTTCATCCGGGTATACTCCTTCAGAGTTTGATAAGCATGCTCCCTGTCATCAAACACTAGCAGATATAAATACGCAACCTCATCCAGATCCATCCTTCCCATCAACAAACCAAGATGGCTTCCCTGTGCAGCCACTTCTGGTCAGGATTGGCCTTGGTGTAATGTCAGGGCTCCCGGGTGTGACCAGAGGTGTGTGACTGACGCAGGGAAACGCAGGCTTCAGATATGTTATAAACAATGTAATTTATTAACACTAACAATACAAACATAAACGCAGTGCAATACTAAAACATAACACAGTGCAAACAAACCAACCAACCACCCACAGATAACAGTACATACAATGCAAGCGTCGTTAGGCAGGCCGGGTCAATATCAATCGGGCAGGTAGGTACAGGGGGAGCAAGCGGAGAATGGTTGGAGTCACAAGCCAGGTTCAGCAGGTAGCGGGCAGCGTGGTACAGAGGGTCAGGCAGAGGAGAATGGTCAGACAAGGCAGGGATCAGAGCAGGGTCAGCAGAGAATCAGACAGGAACAGGGAACAGGGAGCAGGAACAGGATACAGGGCCCAGGAGAAACACAACACCAAGGCAGAGTCTGCAGGTCTGAATGTCCCTTAAATACACCAGTATAATTAGTTCCAGGTGTTTGACTGGCTGCAAGGTTGAGTCTCTGATTGCTGGGAGCACCCGCTGGCCAGCCCTGGTACTGCAGCTCATAAGGCAGCTGAGTCCCACTATTGCTGGCCAGTCCATTCCTGACACACAGGATTCCTCTCTCAAGTGGGAAGAACTTTCTACAGAGGGACTGGATGCTCAGGTATGCATCTCTAGCCCCCACGTTAATAGGAACAACACTCCCCCTCTCCCTACACTTTCCGATTGGAAACATTTGTACAAAACCCCCTTTATGGGACTTTTAAGGCAGATATGACAATTGTGTATATTTCAATAAAATGCTAGTATGCCAAGTTCATTACAAAAGATCCACAGAATATACAAATACATTACATACACAAAATACTGTATCAATGTTATTACATAAACAGCTAAAATGATTAAAACCCCATGTTTCCATAATATATGAAAATTATTGGAGTGGGTGAATATCATTGGAGTAGGTGTCACCTATGACTTTATTGCACATATATATACTAGGTAAGACTGGGTTTTCTGATGGCTGACATATGGATGGGAGTAGGTGTCTGCTCTATGTATACATGGTATGATGGATTTACAAAGTGTTTTTCCCTTTGTATGGTGTTCAGGGTCATTTTTCCTTAATTGGGGATTCATATCACAGTGGATTATAGCCACCTGTACGAGATCAATTATAGTACTCTACTAAATAGAGTAAACTCCGATCTCCGAGCATGAAAAAATTTGTCTTTCACATGGTCTGGCCGTATTAATGTCATTAAGATGACGATCCTTCTGAGGATCATCTATCTGTAACATACTGTTCTGCCTGCTTTCCCACAGACTTTTTTTTTTGGTCATCTGCAAAGACTGTTTGCTACCTTTGTATGACATGGTAGGCACCATAGGTTAGCCTTAATGTTTTTACATAGGGCAAAGATAGCCCTATATTATAAAGCTATGTCTTTGGTTCATACAGTAAACTGGTGCAATAATGCCATAATTGATGGAATTTGGCAGGCACACCTTGAATACCTGTTTTGTGTCATGGGCTCTCTAACTGGATCTCGCCACTTATTTTTGTGACACTGAAGGTTTGAGATGGGTTTAGGGCTGATGGAGACCTAACCTCAGATGTCTCATCCTTAACTCCCTTGGGGGCTTTCCATGGTTTGAGCCAGGAGAAGATGTGCACTTTTTTCGTTCATGGGGTCAGACGAAGATACTACTTGTACTAAGTTGCTCCCCACTGGCTCTCTTCTTCCCTGGATGTCTTAAGAATCAATTACAGCTCATTCCCTCTGGACTATTGGAGACACTTTCAGATCTCAGGCTTCCTTGACAGGACTCTCACTAATTTGAGAGATAGTTCCACCCTTACTGCATTTGTTCCTTGATCTCAGAGTCAGGCCATCTCTTGATCTCCTGTCCCAAATGTATAGACTACTGATATAGGAGGGCTCTGATGGTAAAGGATGACTCTGATGGTAAAGGAGGACATGGGACGGAAGAGATGGGACTGGAAGAGGAGGACATGGGATGGGGGAGATGGGACTGGAAGAGGAGGAGATGGGATGGGGATGATGGGACTGGAGAAGGAGGACAAGGGATGAGGGAGATGTTACTGGAGAAAGAGTAAGACATGGAATGAGGGAGATGGGACTGGAGAAGGAAAGAGGACATGGGATGGAAGATATGGGACTGGAGAAGGAGGAGAACATGGGGATGGGGGAGATGGGACTGGAGGAGGACATTGGATGGAGGAGATGTTTGCATTGATTTATGTTAATATTGCTAAATTTGTTGTCTTTAATATTTATTTTTGTAACTTTATTCTGAATAAAACATTTAGGAGTGTAATTTCATGATATAATTTATGAGGGCATATTTAGGGATGGAATTAGGGGCAGGGCAGGGTAGGAGTTGAATGGGGCAACTGATGGTGAGTAACTCTTAAGGCCTGGCTAGTAGCTCAGGACTTGACATTTTGAGCCCTGTACTTTCCTATCTATTAATGCTAGCAGCATAACAATTAAAAATAGTCAATGTTGACTGAGAGAGTGAATTTTCACTTTAAAGCGTTTTACTGCACACAAAGACAATATAATAAATAATTTTTGGTAAAATATAAAAGATGGTGTTACGCCAAGTAAATAAATGCTAAACATGTCAAGCTTTCAAATTGTGCACGCCTGTGAAATGGCAACAAACTAAGTACATTTAGTTATCCGTAGGTGACCCTTTACAAGCCTTTACAGGTTACAATTATAGAGTTACACAGGAGATCTGTTGCTAGAATTATTGCTCTCATTCTGGCATTGCAGTAACACCTTACATGTGCGGTGCAATCGCTGTATACATGTAGGTCTGACTTGTGAGTTTCGCCTTTGCTTGTTAGCAAGGGGAACTTTTAGGGATGGATAACATTTAAAGTTGCTACCTCATCCATTTAAAACGCATATTGATTATATAAGTTCTGTGGCTGCTTAAGGTGGTAATTAAACTCACTTAGTGCCTTATCTGCATTAAATTAGCCTCAGAACCTGTGTAACTAATATGTGTCCGGCCTTAAAGGGATAAGGTGGCAACCCCAGTAACAGTATCACCTCAAGGAGGGTGTCTAACTGTGGTGAACCATATCACCTTATCCCAAGGGAAGAGATGACAGATACATTTGGGCCCAGGGTGGTGGAATATATTCAGGATTGGGAACATTGGACTGGGAAGAAGTATTCTAAAAGAAGAACATTCATGCTTAAGGCATGAGAGGACCTGTGGCATGATCATCATAAAAAGATGGCACGCCCAAATGAAAGAGATGCTTGAAGTATATCCGGTTCCCGCCCGGCCTATGGCCAGATGGCGGCTGGGCGAGCACCTCATCCCTCCAGGTGGACGCAATATGGCGTCCTTCCAAGCATGCGCAGTTTGCGCTCCTGCAGAGCCGCGTAGCGGCACGATCTGTCACCGGCCGTGTACCTTGGACACGGCCGATGACAGATCTGTGTACCGGCCCCGTTGCCAGTACCATGTGATCTGCTGTGACCAATCACAGCAGGTCACATGACAGTTGTATACAATGGATGGCTTCCTTTCATGCCATCCATTGTATACAAGTGTAGCTAGCTGTGAATGGTCACAGCTAGAGATGAGCGAAGTATTCAAAAATTCGATTCGGCTGATTCGGCGAATTCGATGAATAATTTAACTTATAAAAGGGTGTTTCTAGGCTTCAGAGAGCCTTCATATTAGTGCAGAACACTGTACCTTTAATTTAAATGCCCTTGGAGTCTGCTGGGGAAGAGAAATAATACTGTCAGTCAGTATGACATGCAGATGAGTGCCGTCGATCTTAGAATCACCGCACACTTTACTCATTTGGGCAGTCACGGGGCCAAAACCAGAGTGTGGAGCCACAGTGTGGCGGTGGAGGCAGCAGCAATGGGAGGCCATACAGCACCCTATGACAAAAATGGAACCCACCAGCAGTGTGAGGAGACCTGAAAGTGGCACATGGCAGAGTGTGGCGATGGAGACAGCAGCAATGGGAGGCCGTACAGGGACCCATGACACACTCTGGACCTGGCAGCAGCATTAGGAGGCGGTACGGGGGCCCATGGCAGATTACGGGCCTGGCAGCAGCAATGGGAGGCCCGTAATCTGCCAGCACCCTATGACAAAATGGAACACACCAGCAGTGTGAGGAGAACTGAAAGTGGCACATGGCAGAGTGTGGCGATGGAGACAGCAGCAATGGGAGGCCGTACAGGGACCCATGAGAGACTCTGGACCTGGCAGCAGCATGAGGAGGCGGTACGGGGGCCCATGGCAGATTACGGGCCTGGCAGCAGCAATGGGAGGCCCGTAATCTGCCAGCACCCTATGACAAAAAATGGAACACACCAGCAGTGTGAGGAGACCTGAAAGTGGCACATGTTTGGGGCATGATTCATGGCGGATTTAGTCAGTTGTGTCAGGAACTGGTGGTTTGAAATCCAGACTAATCCACGCCTGATTCATTTTCACAAACGTGAGTCTCTCCACACTTTGGGTGGACAGTCGTGTCCTCCGCGGAGTTACAATACCTCCTGCCGCACTAAACACGCGCTCCGATGCCACGCTACTGGGCCGGGCATGACAGCCTTTCAAGGGCAAATTCAGCTAGTTGGGGCCAAAGGTCAAGTTTCGTTGCCCAGTAGTCAAGGGGATTGTCTACCTCGGTTGGCAGGGTGCTGTCCAAGTAGGCCCAGCCTGTTGTTTGAGGTCCTGCTCCAGGTCCACCTGATGCTGCTGCTGCTGCGGCTGGTTAGTAGTTTCCTCACTGCGCTGGTGAAGAAAGCTACTCATCATCCACTGCAGACTGAGGCAGTCGCTGCTGGTGGAGCTGCCACTGCTCCTACCACCCCACCCCAGATCAGTTAATCTCTCCTCCACCTCAAACCTTACGTTCTTTGCGAAGCCTATAGCAACTCCCTTTGCTCTTTTAGTTGGTGAATCCGCATAAAACCATGTTGGAAAATATCTAGTCCTCAATCTAACCTTCGAATCTATCTCTAAGTGTGTTTCCTGCAAAAATACCACTGAGGATTTTCTATGTTGACGTTCTTTAAATAGCCTAAATCTCTTTCCTGGACAGCTTAACCCTTTTACATTGTAGGTTATATATTGGATTTCTTCCATCTTATTCTTTTTCCTGCTAACTCCTTCTTCCTCCTTCCCTTCCTCTTTCTTATTCCTATTGAGCGTTTTTATCCCACTACACTTTTCTCTCCCCCCTTATCCCTCCCCCCCTCTCTCAGTACTCCCCTCAATCCCTTTCCTCTCCCTCCCCACCTCTCCCCTCCCTCCTCCCCCCTCTTTTTAGGCCTTCGTTTTGCCTCAACATCATTTGTGGAGATAACATCCACTTTTGACTTAATCCTTAGGGCTACGCTCCTCCCATGGACAGCCTCCCCTCCCTCCAAATCCCCCCATTGACCCTCTTTCTACTTATACTTCTAAAGAAAGAAAGGGAAGGAAGTTAAACTGGAGTAGCGGGGGGGGGGGGGGGGAGGCGCTGGATTGGGAGCAAGGAGATTCAGAAAAAAAAAACAAAAAAAAAAAAAAACCTCTTCTCTCACTTCTCTCCCTCCCCACCCTACCTCCCCCCCTCCCACCCGTCTCCACTCCTCCCCTCTTTTTAATCTATTTCCCCCAGATTCTTCTTCCCAACCATTGATTTCAATTCTCTGCATTTCAAATCTATCGCAAAAGTTTCTCAAGTCCTCTGGGAACCTCAAATAGGCAGTTATTCCGTTTTTCCATCATATTAAGCACTCCGGTACTCCCCATCTATATTGCACCTTCTGTTTTTTCATCAGCTCCAGCAAAGGCCTCAGAGATCTCCTCCTCCGGAGAGTCTCCGATGACAAGTCCGCATATATTTGGATATCCATTTCTCCATATTTTATTTCTGATTTTCCCTTAGTTTTCCTCCAGATTCTTTCCCTTTGCTGCAGTTCATAAAATTTAACAAGTATGTCTCTCGACCTTTCCTTCTCATAGTTCCCCTGGAGTCTCCCGATTCTAGAGATTCCTTCTATATTAGTCCTTTCCATATCAGAGTTTCCCGTTATAAAGTTTAGAATTTTGTAAACCTCCTCTTCCAATATTCCTCCTTTTAAACTTTCCGGTATCCCTCTTATCCTTATATTTCTCCTTCTTTCTCTATTCTCTTGGATTTCCATCTTGTACTGCAATTTTTCCTGAGCTTTTTCCATATTAATTATCTTCTTCTCTAATTCGGAAATAATCTGGGTCTGATTTTTAACTTTCTGCTCCGTTTCTTCCACTCTTAGCAACAACTGCCCCAGGTCATTCCGAATATTTACCATTTCTTGCTTTATTGTTCTCTCCAGATCTTTAAACATTTCTGTCATTTCTTTTTTATTTGGGATTTGGAGCTCTTTTTCTATCTGATATTTGTTGACTACTGATATCCAAGTCCATTAATTGTTTAGGGCTATTTTGCGTACTTAGATCTAATTCTCCTTTGTCATTTCTGCTCTGGGTCCTTTCCGCGGTCACGTTTCCCTGGGATGTGTACTTTTTAATTGTGCCCGTTTGGGTCCCTTTTGGCCCGATCCTTTTGCACTTTTATTTTTCATTTCTTCTATATCTTTTCTATTTCTCTAGAGATTTGTGTTAAGAAGAAGCCGTTTATATGATTTGCAAGTCCCAGCCCTGTCCATTCACTTTTCTTTCCTACATATGTTCTTCTCTTTATTTATATTCTCTTCTCTGGGGGTCCCCCCTTTTCCTCACACTCTCTGTTTCCCCACCAGCTCAATACAGATTTTATATGTGAAGCCACAGCCAGACTCACTCACCCTCCTTGCACATTTCTTCTCGTGAGACGGCTCCAGGCTCCCTCCTCCAGTTTCTTTCAGCAGGTCAGCTCCTCTCCACCTCCTCTCTCAGGGGGACCCTCCAGGACTTTCTTCCACTCTCTCCTGCCTTGGACCAGGCTGTTCTTCCCTGTCAGCACCACGACAGGGGGCCGGGATAGCTGGACGTTCAGCAGAACAATGTCTCTCCTGCTCCCTGTCAGCCGCTGGCCGGCCGGCTTCCTCGCCTCCCAGGGATGCACTGCGGCAGGTCACGTGTCCTAGCCGCGCCTCCACATCTCCCAGCAACCAGGCTCACTGTTCCAGCCTCTCACTGCTGCGCTCCAGCTCCCAGGCTCTCCCTCCCGCGGGCCGTCACTCATCCGAGGGAGCCCACAAGGCCAAGGTAAATCTCAACCTTCTGGAGCTCCATGCATCTAGGGGGGTTTGGGGCCAGTGGGGGGGGATCGGACAGAAGAGCCTCGTGCAAGAGCTCCTACCACGAACTCCCCGCCGCCGCCATTGTGAGAACTTTATGGTCTAAACTTCACTCGTCGTATTTGGAGGAAAAAGAAGGATGAGTTGCATCCCAAGAACACCATCCCTACTGTGAAGCATGGGGGTGGTAACATCATGCTTTGGGGGTGCTTTTCTGCGTAGGTGACAGGACGACTGCAATGTATTAAGGAGAGGATGAATGGGGCCATTTATTGTGAGATTTTGAGCAACAACCTCCTTCCCTCAGTCAGAGCATTGAAGATGGGTCGTGGCTGGGTCTTCCAACATGACAACGACCCGAAGCACACAGCCAGGATAACCAAGGAGTGGCTCCGTAAGAAGCATATCAAGGTTCTGGAGTGGCCTAGCCAGTCTCCAGACCTAAATCCAACAGAACATCTTTGGAGGGAGCTGAAAATCCGTGATGCTCACGACAACCCCGAAACCTGACAGATCTAGAGGAGATCTGTGTGGAGGAGTGGGCCAAAATCCCTGTTGCAGTGTGTGCAAACCTGGTCAAAAACTACAGGAAACGTTTGACCTCTGTAATTGCAAACAAAGGCCTCTGTACCAAATATTAACAATGATTTTCTCAGGGCCAAAACACCTGTAGGATCATCCATTTGGATCCTTCATGTATATGACTCCTCTGCCACTGTGAGCCTCTCCCTGCAGCAAAATCCCCTCCAGGCGTATGCGTTTGGATAGCAAGATCCTCTCCTCTTTCATTGACATCTGTGTGGTTCCTTCAGTCTTCAGTCTGTTTGTGACAGTGTTCACTATATAGCCCCATTTGGACTAGTTTTTATGTTCTCACCTATTGGTTGAAATTATCACTTATCAGATTATCACTAGTAGATCCATTAAGTGGATAAGTTCACGTACACATCATTGTTTCTTCTTTACGTGTGGATACACTTTTATGCTATCGATATCACATTAGATCTCCTAGTGGATCTGTATACACTTCCTTTCTATTTCATTGGGTCCCTACAGGATCACGTCACTTTTATACACGTGTATTGGTTTATATGTATATTTAATTACTTTTAATCACTTATTATTTATAGTTATATTTTAGGTAGTGCTGCATCAATTTATATTTTTGGTTAGTACAGCCAACAGCTAACAGTGATCTAATTAACAGCAAGCTAATCAACAGCCAAGTACCTAGAAAATGCTTTGTTTTAATCAAGGAGCCCACCACAGACAGCATGACAACAAACCCACCCCGAATACACAAAGTACATTACACATGCGGTGTTTTAGATGTTTGCTTTCACTTGTATAATCTGTCCATCATAAGAAAAAAACAATACAATATTTCAGCAGTCTGAAAAGTAGAATTAGTTTATCTTCATAGATTTCTTGAGGGAGCGTGTTAATAAATAATTCTGTCCCAAATAGAGGAGCTTCTCCAATCCAATCCGTATTCTTGAGTGCTGACTGAACTACACATACCAGAGAGTTGGCAAACCAGAAGGATGATGGAAAGAGCAGATATATTCTACTGCAAGGGATGAGATCGCTCTTTTTTTGCACT